TTTTTATCGCTGGCTGTTATTCCGATGCTCTCTTCTGTTTCCTCTGCTGCCCCCATGTTGTGTCATTTTGTAACCTGTATTCACCATCAGTGTTGATTTACAGGAGAGCAGTTCACTATTTGGCCCAGAGACAATGAATCTCTGGTGTTCAGCTGTTCCAGCCAGTGTCATGTTCCATATAAAGTGCCTCAGTTTTCGCCGGGGTCATTGCTCATGTTCAGCAGTTTCCTTTTCCCTCGGTCTAGTCTGAAAAAAACCCTGCCTGCCTCCCTACAAGTGCTGGTACTCCAGAGGTTAATAGCTGTGATCTCCCACACTCAGCAGGTGCTCTGGGAGATGTACAGAGAGGACCAGAGCATCCTCCTGCCTTGGTGCAGGGGGTTCTTCCTTGCTCACTTTCCCTTCCCACTTTCACAGCACCCTCACAAGGGATGATGGAGGGACGGTTACATCTGTGGAAGCGTTAGGGATGCTCCTGACAGGTGTTGTCTCAGGCATTTCACACCTACCTGCAGCCCTCAGAGTGGAGGAGATCCTCTTCACTGTCCCTTCCCCTGTAGGGGCACAGTATGGGCACAGTCCCTGGGGGTGAATGCCCGAGGGTAGAGGTGGCAGCATCTCCCTCTTCAAAAGAGTCAGGAGTGTTTCTGTCCCTTCTGCTGTCCTTCCTGATTCAGGTGAGTGTCAAAGAGAGCCCTGGACTACTCCTTACTGCTGTGGGTTCCTGGAGCAAAAAGACACCTCGGGACTCCTACCTGATCGTGCAAAGAGCCCTAGGAGAGAAATGAGCAAAAAACACCCCCCCACTTTATCACTCAAACCCTAATTTCTGATTGCACCATTGCTCCAAAAAAGCACAAAGGAGAGACTATCGAGGAGCTGTGAGTCAGAGGTGGCTCCCTCTCATGGCTTAGAAAGTAAAAGAGGAAAAGAAATCGGGAGCCAGGAGCTTGCACTCTGCTGCCACAGCTAAAATGCCCAGAGCCCCCTGACCTCTGCCAGGCTGTTCTGAAGCAGCATGAGGAAGCCAAAAGAATCATAGAATCACAGAATAGTTTGGAAGGGATATTAAAGATCATCTCGTTCCACTCCCCTGCCATGGGCAGGGACACCTTCCACTAGCCCAGGTTGCTCCAAGCCCCATTCAACCTGGCCTTGAACACTCCCAGGGATAGTGCAGCCACAGGTTCTCTAAGCAACTATGCTGGGGCCTCATCACCCCCACAGGGAAGAATTTTTTCTGATATCTAATCTAAACCTACTCTTTCAGTTTAAAGCCATTCCCCCTTGTCCTGTCACTCCAGATCCGTGTAAATAGTCTCCATCTTCTTTGTGGGCTCCACTCAGGCACTGGAAGGCTGCAGTTAAGTCACCAGGGGAAGGCAGAGGTGATCCACAGAAAGTGTTCTTGTCTCTCCTCCTGTGGGCTGCTGAGCTGCCCCAGCACTGCTGAGTGCTGACAGCCACAGCTACACACAGGCAAAGGAATGCAGCAGTAAAAAGGGGGAAAATAGAGTGAATCCCCTCTAAGCAGGCAGTGCCAGGCTGTCTGAAGAGTGCCCAGGGTGGCTCAAACCAGGGTGGGCAGCAGCCCACCTGCAGCAGGGGCTGGTGCGAGTCAGGCCACAGGACGAGGGGCCTTTCCCTCCTTCAGGCTGCTGCTGACACCTTACGACCATCCCCACAGTGACACACCAGACAAACACTCTGAGTTATCAGTTCTCTGCAAGGAATTTTACGAATTCCTGTCCTGCCAAACACTGTGTTGGAGACTGTCACTTCCGAGCGCTTGCCAAGAGCCCGGTCTGGCCAGCTGCTTAATATCAGAGTGCTTTGTGCTTTTCAGTTTGTGATAAGCATCTGGGCAGGCGGGGTTAAGGGCAGCATCCTGCTAGTCACAGTCCTCGGGAAGGTCTTCCATGCCCAAAAGCCTGGCTGTTTTTTCCAATTATGTCAGCTGGGCTAATAAAAGTGATTACCTCCTTCTACCAACCCTGCTTTCTCATTGATCCCACAGGCTGTTCTTCAAATGTCACTCAGTGAGGAGGGAGCACACATCCAATTATGAAAAGTGAAAAGATCAGTGTGATGACAAAGCAGCAGGGTCAGTGGTGCAGATGTGCTGAAAATGCTGAAAAGTTAAGAACTACTCAAAAGCACAGATAGTCATGCAAACCCCAAAAGCAACTCAGACTTCCGGTGATGAAATTTGTTTTCATGTGTGGCAAATTCCTGCCTTTATTTTGAATCTGTGGCCACTCGTCCCACTTGTTGTGGGCAGAAATCAGCTCAAGACATGGGCCCACCCCAACACACCTCACATAGGTGAGAAAGAACTGCCAACACGTGCAAGAGCTTCAAAATCAAGGAAGAAAGATCAGCCTTTCTCCTCTTACTCCACCACAGCCTGTTAACCAGAGGTTGAGGTTTCTTTTGATACAGTACAACAAAGAAAATATATTTAGCTGTAAACTGAGCTGGCTGATTTCTGCACCCTGGGCCACAAAAACTGCCAGAGTCCTTCAGAGCTTCTGGAGAGAGATGCAGGACTGTTACCAGAGACCTGCAGGACATAGAGATGCCTTCGGTAAAGCACCTGTTATGAAGCAGAGAACTCAGTTTTAATTCTTCCAAAGCTGGTTTTTCCCACCAGGTCCCCAAACCTGCTTCTCCTCCTGTCAGGACTCAGGATGAATATATGTATGTCTGTTAGGATAGGGGACCTAATGCTTTCTGGATGCTTTGATTTGGTGTCTGAGTATTCCCATTTGTTAGGCTAACCCACAGAAACAGCACAGCAAACTCACTGGGTCACTACCAGACACTTACCTCGAGTGCTTTCTATAGCTTTCAGGTCAGTTATTAAAATAGAAGGGGGAACAGGGAGCTGAGGATGATGTCTAATTCCCAAACCTTCTGCTTTTCCTTCCCCGTTCTGCTCCACACTCTCACTATTGCATCTCATCTGCACCTCTGCTTTTCCAGCAGCTTCTTGGCATGCTACCCCTGAAAGGTGAATGCTGATGGCCCTGAGCAGAGTGTGTAGAGACCTGTGTTCACCAGAGCTGAGAATGGATATGACACCCAGCAAGTGCTCTCAGAGCCTGTGTCTGCCTCTGGGCCACACACTCAGCTGGTGTGAGGTCTGTGAAAGTCAGTGGAGTTCTACAGACTAACACCAGTGGGTTACAGTTGTACCTGTTGGTGTGTGGGGGAGAGGACAGCCCTATTTATCTTATTTATCCTTTGGGTAGAGAAAGCTCCTGGTAATTAGCTCAGGTCATTTGCACCAAACCAGTGGCTCTTCTCAGTGTTTTCCCAAAGGCTGCAGATATCTGCAGTGGGAAGGGGTGCCCTGTGGATCCTCTGTTCAAGTCTCTGCCTTTTTAAAACCCCTGAAATGGTGGATGCAATATTAGTGTGTGGAAAGTGCGGGAAACCACTTGTTCAGGAAGGTCCCTGCCTAGACAGACACCTCATGCCACTGAAACTGCCTTTCATTTCCTGATTCCAGTACCTCATTTGCCCCTCTGTCTTAAAACACAAAACTTCCTCTCTGTACATGCAGCTCTTCTCTATAAATATCCCCAGTGCAGTTGGGGCTGGCAGGGTGAAGGCTGCTCCCCAGTGCAGCCCCACTGCCACAGCTGGCACCTGGCCCTTGGCACCATGGTACCACCTTACCATGAGGGAAAAATGAGGTAGAATCATGAAAACCCATCAGACCCCGGCAGCTGATGTGTTTCAAATAGAATTCTACATTGGTAAGTATTTAATTTGAAGGCAGGAGTCTGCCACTGCCTGTGCCATGAGAGGGTCACAGTTCTGTACCCAATGAGGCACTGACCTGCAGCTGCTGCTGGTGCAGATGGTGGCATTGGGGTAGATCTGGGCAAAAGCAGTTCTTTCTTTACTACCTTTCCATGGCACAGGGCAATTCTAGAACTACAGGTTTCAGGCTTTGCTGTCTACTCCACAAGCATCCCAGGCCCAGCAGGCAGCATGATTTGTCTCTGGGAGGGCAGCACAAAGCTGGGCAGTGCCACTTCAGAGCCACAGGCAGAAATGAAACTCCAGTGGTGGTGTTATCTCCCATTAGGCTAAAAGGAAGTTTTAAGGATTCCTTAGTCCTTACTTAGTAAATTTGTTTGTTTTGGAGGGAAATACTTGTGATAGAGTCTGGGTCTGACCACATGCCTGGCTGCAGCAGTCACACAGCTCCCTGCCTTGTCAGTGCCCCCAGGACAGTTGAGGGGTGTTTGTGCCTTTGATCAGCTCTGGGGTTTTGGGGGCTGGGTGGTGACTCCTGCACTTGGATGCACCCCACCATCCTGAGTGCCAGCTGGGGTGCTGAGCTGGGGGTGAAGCTGCAGTAACAGTGCTGTGCTGGGGGCTGTCAGGGATGGGGACACGGGTGACAACCTGGCATGAGGTGTTACTAGTGAAGATGGGGGTTCTTGGAAAGCAAACTCCAGTGCCCAACCAAGGACAAAGCCTCCATGAGCTTCAGCATCCTCAGGATTTTCCTGGTGCTGTGTGTCCTGGTGACACCACAGGAGCATGCAGAGTGTGTGGGTGGGGTGAGAGGTGTGGGGACACTTTGGGGCAGGGAGTGTGGGGGCATTTGTGGTGCAGGGGTTGCAGGGACACTGCTGAGGTAGGGAGTGATTGCTTGGCAGTGTAGGTGGGAGGCACGGGGACAGTGCACAGCAGGCTGCACGTGGGGGTGCCTGGGGGACACGCGTGGGCGGGGGAGAGCGTGAGGACACCGCGAGGGGAGGGATCACACCTGGAGCAAGGGGGAGCCCAACGGTTGCGGGCAAGCAGCGAGAGGCGCGTACAGCCGCGGGGATGCAGCACGACGTGGTCGAGGGAGCGATGAAACACGCGATGGGGCAGACGGAGGGGGAGCTCAGGGGGTGCGGGGGGGGGCTCGGTGCGGGTGCCGGCTTGCATGGCTGCGGCGGGCTTGATGTCACGGGCGGTGTCACCTTTATAAGCTCCGCGGCGACCGAAACGGGCCTGGGAGAACGGGAGGGCCGGCGGATTGCCGCGCGCGGACGGACCGGGACGGGACGGGGACGGGAACGGGACGGGACGGACGGGACGGGACGGGACGAGGCAGACAGGACAGGACGGGACGGGAGCGGTCCCAGGTTCGCACGGCGGGAGCGTCCCCGCACCTGCTATCCCGTATGCGCTGCGCCCAGAGCAGCGCTGCCGCTGCGGAGCCCTAAGCAAAGCCGAGCCCCCCCCCCCCGCCCCCCGGGGGCTGCTGGCGGGCCATGGCGGTGGCAACGGCACCGAGCTGCCCGGCGGCAACGTCAGCGCCAACCAGAGCGCCGCCGACCCCACGGTGTCGCGGGACGTGTGGATGGTGGGCATGGGGATCCTCATGTCTCTGATCGTGCTGGCCACCGTCTTCGGCAACGTGCTGGTGATCACTGCCATCGCCCGGTTCCAGCGCCTGCAGACTGTCACCAACTACTTCATCACCTCACTGGCCTGCGCTGACCTGGTGATGGGGCTGGCCGTGGTGCCCTTCGGCGCCTGCCACATCATCATGGAGATGTGGCAGTTTGGGAACTTCTGGTGTGAGTTCTGGACCTCCTTGGATGTGCTCTGTGTCACGGCCAGCATTGAGACCCTCTGTGTCATTGCTGTGGACCGGTACTTCGCCATCACTTCCCCTTTCAAGTACCAGAGCCTGCTGACTAAGAGCAAGGCGCGCATGGTTGTCCTCATCGTGTGGGTGGTCTCAGTCCTCACCTCCTTCTTGCCCATCCAAATGCACTGGTACCGGGCAGACCATGCAGAGGCCATCCGGTGCTATGAGGAGGACACATGTTGTGACTTTTTCACCAACCAAGCCTATGCCATTGCCTCCTCCATCATCTCCTTCTACGTGCCACTCATCATCATGGTATTCGTGTATGCCAGGGTCTTCCAGGTGGCCAAGAAGCAGTTGCAGAAGATAGACAGGAGCGAGGGGAGGTTTCACACCCAGAACAAGGAGCAGGAGCAGAAAGGGGGAGCTGGGTACCGCCGTGCCTCCAAGTTCTTGAAGGAGCACAAGGCCCTCAAGACCTTGGGCATCATCATGGGCACCTTCACACTGTGCTGGCTGCCATTCTTCATTGTCAACATCGTGCACGTCATCCAGGACAACATCATTCCCAAGTACGTGTACATCCTCTTGAACTGGCTGGGCTATGTCAACTCTGCCTTCAACCCTTTGATCTACTGCCGGAGCCCGGACTTCAGGTACGCCTTCCAGGAGCTCCTGTGCTTCCGCAGGTCTGCCCTGAAGATGTATGCCAACGGCTACTCCAACAGCAACGGCAGGGGCGACTACAATGAGGAGGAAAACGGCTACCCCCTGGCACCGGATAAAACCTGCGACTTGCTCTGTGAAGAGGGTTCCTTCCCTCACCCTGAGGACTTTTTGCACTGCAAAGGTACTGTGCCTAGCGGGTAGGGTACTGTGGGCTCTGATGTGGCACACAGTGGTTGTACAGAGGAGTCTTTCTAAGGAAAATGAACTTCCTCCCTTAATAATAATAGTGATCCTCTTCTAGAGCGCCCCTAAAATCTAATGGCTGCGAGAAACCCCAAACTCAAGCCTTATGCAAGTGGGGGCTGGCTCCGGCTAGGGCAGGTGGGCTGCTGGCAGCCTCCCTGGTTAGGGGCACGACCGAGGGTCCCTTAAGTGGGGTCAGGGGAATTTGAGGCTGTGCAGGATGCACGTCCTCGGAAGGAGTTTATGGCCGCGGCCGGTGTTGAACTACCTCATGACCTTGCTGTGAGCAGCCGATGGCTGCTGCGGGAGAGCCGTGCGGGGCGGCGGGAGCAGGGCTGGGGCTGGACCCCCCCTGCCCCGGCGGCAGCCCCGCAGAGGAGCCGGGCGCCTCGCGGGACTCCTCCTGATTCTCTTCTCTTAACCGAGTCGGTGGCCGTGGGAAGCCCCCCCCGGCCAGGTGGGCATCTCGGGCGGTGGTGCCAGTGCTGTTCAGCCCGGGGGACTGTGCGGAGGTGGCACTCTGCGGCAAAATAGCGGGGAAGGGATGCTGGGAGTGGGGCTGAGCGCGGGTCGCAGGGCTGGGTCACGGCCGCGGCTGTGGTCGGCAGCGGGACAGTTTTATTCGCCCAGAAACTGCGAATGCTTTTTTTGCCAAGCGCTATAGGACTTTCTGCTGAAATAATAATAGGAATAAATGGACTATTTGCCTAAAATGTGAGCCTGTGACTGTGGGACTCAGGAATGTTATACTGGGAAGTCGGGTGACATGCTGCTGCAACCACAAACCATCGTTCTGCATCCAACCAAAAGCTTTTAAAGCACCCAGTTTGTTTAACTACAAGTCTCATATGACAGTGAGCCCGAAGGGAGGGGAGGAGGGTTTTTATTTTCCATGGCATCCAGCTCAGCTCCGACCGTGGGACTGCTGCAGGTCTGTTGGGTTGGTTGTGGAGGTTTTTTACCCCGTGTAACAGGCAGTGCCTCGGTGTCCCCGCGCTGCGGAGCTGGCGGCGGGCGGGCAGGGCTGGCGGGGCACGGCAGACACGGGCGGGCAGGTTTGGGCGGCAGGACAGGACCGCACTGCTATCGAGGGCTGGCTCTCTGGGAGTCCCTAGCTGGAGGAAAGCAGCAGTTTGGGCTGGGGAAGGGGGGAATGGAGCTCCCCCCCATCTGCAATCGCGGTGCTGTGTGACAGGCTGGACCCGCGGGCCGGGAGGTTGTGCAAGCGCGGGGTCCTTTTAGAAACACTCGGGAGAGGTGCAAGGAAACGGTGCCCACGGGTCCTGCCGGCGCTCCGTGGGACCGTGGTGTCCCGCGGGGGAACGCTCGGGCACCCCCCGTGCCTGGATCCCCCGCATTTCCACGCGCTTTCCCCGCACTACGGGGGTGTTCGTTGCGTTGCTACTTGGGCCGTGCCGTGGGTCTGGGTGTCTCTGGGTCCATGGCAGAACTAGCTTTGCAAACGCAGTGGGGTGACCAGCCCGGAGCTGAGACCCCCCAGGCTGGTACCCCCCGGTGCAGAAGGCAGAGGGGCTTTGGAGCAGCGCTGTGCGCTGTCCTGGGGAGGCTGGAGGCTGGGAGGGGGGTGGAGCAGGGTTTCTGGTTACCGACACCTTTTTGCAGTCCCCGTGTGGCCTTGGCTCTCTTGGCTGCTCTGAGAAGGACTTGCCCCAAGCACTGGTGCTGTCAGGGGCGACCCCAGGGAATGCTGGAGGGGAATCCCACCCCCCCTCCCCGAACGGCAGGGAGCAGGAGGGGGTGTCATTACTGATGGTCTCTGATGCTGCTGCAAGGTGTGGGGACAAGCTCCATGAGCTCTCACATCCCTCATGGTAAAACCCCACCTGGCTTGTACGGGGCTGGGGTCTGGAAACTCCTAGTGCTCCCTTCTTTTTTTTCCCAGAGTGGTACTGATCCTGCTTGAAACGGGTGTTAGGAAGGAGGAACAGTTGTAAAAGCCCTCTTCTCCTCTGACTCATCTCCACTTGCTGCCTTTGCAGCTCAGCACTACAGCAGAGGCAGGGAATTTGGCCGAGTCCTTCCCTCCTGCCTCTCTGCTTTGTTGCCTGCACCTCTCTGTGCCCTCACCTGCTGCCTTGGGAGGTATGTCAGCAGTGCCCCAAGCCCTCTGAGTGTGAGCCACCAGTCGGGCAAAGGAAGGGTGTGATCTAACGGTGTGGTGCGTGAGGCCCCAGGTCAGCTCCTCAGATAACCATTAACAGGCTGCCCGAGCAGGGGAGACCCAGCACAGGACCAGGACTGCCAGTCAGGTGCTGTTTGCTTCATACTGCACAAGGACTGAAAGGTGACAGGCTGGTGTGATGTGGAGTCGGTGTAGGTACACCCAGTGTAGGTACTCACACTGGAACTGGAGATGCACTTTACAGCAGTGCAGGCCATGATTATTATGTAGCATTGAGGGGAAGTGACAATTAACCTTTTGATTGTAGAGATCAATATCTCCTGTGTTGTTCTGTCTCCTGCATTTTGAATCTTGCCAGTCACTTTTATTTTGCAATATCTGGGGGCAGTGTGAGTTGGCAGGTAGCAAGGGCACACAGGGAGGAGGTGCCCCACAGTACTGAAGGGTTAGCCAGCCTCCAACAGGCTCAGTGGTCAAACTCTCACCAGCTTTGGGACAGGACCCTCTGGCACAAAGAAATCCCCTGTCCACATCTTGGGGTCTGTATTTTCACTGTTATTAATTATTGGCACTTCAGTAACACATGTTGTGGACCAGGACTTTGTTGTCCAAATAATCTCTCTATTTGTTTGGCTTCCTCTGTTTATACTTCAGATGTTGTGGCTCTGTGTAGCCAAAACTGAGAGATGAGCAAGTAACTGAATGTAAATCCACTCCAGCATCCAGAGCACCTGGATGTGTAAGGGATAGGGGATGTTGGGCTGTTTGCACTGGGCAGTTGACCTTGGTACTGCAAAGCTCAGCTACAGTGTTAGGAAACCTCAGGCTTGCAGTGGAGTCTGAGTGTTGAAGAACTGATTTCTCTCCTCTAAGGTAACATTATTAAAATATAAACTGTGCAGTTCTGGGGGCAGCTGGAACTGAAAGAGAGAAATATTGGAGGAAAAAATATTATGGCATAACCAAAACCAAACCTGACAAATCTTTCCTGTTTCATGGTTGGAAAAGGAAAGCTTTGGCCTGTTAAAATATTTTACACTACAAAGATAGTTTTATAGATACATGCTAGGCATTAAAAAATGGAGCACTGAAGTCAGAAGTGGCTGTTAAATTGGATTTTAGGGTACTTAGGATTTAAACTAGCAGAGAGTTGGCTCAGGTTAAATACATCTGATAAAACACACAGTGATAAACACCAAATTGTTATTGCAAACAGAGCAGGCTACCTGCTGTGCTGCTGGCTTGTACCTTGTGCCACTGCCACAAAGGTGGGTAGAGGATGAGAGGGATACTGCCCACCCATGTCAGTGGGGACACGGGTGGGATGTGACCCCCAGGTGTCTGTGCGTGCAGCTGACTCGAATTTGGCATTATGTTCACTGCCTTTAGCCACTTTGACCAAAGAGATTGTAGTTGTTTTTAAAGTCTTAGTTGAGATGGAGATCACAAACACAGCTTTTGTGTTGTTACAAAATACTGCCCTCACTGTAGGTCCTGCTTGTGATCTGGGCAGCTGCAGCTTTCACATCAGGAGCTGTCTTTGCTTCATCCTCCAAAACAGCCAGAGCATTGAAAGCTCCTGAGTTATGCTAGTCCTTTGCCTCTTGGGAGCATTCCTGGAGAGCTTTTGGTTTCTGGGTAGCCAGGCTTGGAAATATAACCTTCAGCTTGCTCTGGCACTAGGGAGAAGTGGAAGTGCATGGGGAGCTGGCAGAGGGAACGGGGTCTAGGTGCAGATCCCCACTTGGAAATGAGACTCAAGCATCTTTTGAGGACTGGTTGTTCCCAAAGTGCCTCATGTCCCGAGTTGTTCAGCAATTCCCACTGGGCAGCATTGCCTATGGGTGCATATCAAGTTGCTGGGGGGTGTCAGGGCTGTGCCTGCCTCAGCCTTGCCTCTGAAACTGTGTCCAGACCGTGCAACCTCCCCTGGGGTTCAGGTCAAGGTGAGGCCCCTGCTGAAGGATAGTGGTACAGCAGAGAGAGAGGGAAGAGACTTAAGTTACAAAATGCACCAAAATGTTTGAAAATAGGCCAGGGATTAATAGAGTAGAAAGGAGAGCCCTGCTTCTCTAGAGAGGGAGCGGATGTGTGAGCAGTCACACAACGTGCTCTTCAACTCTCCCACACGTCACAGCTGCTGGGCTTTGCAAAGGGCCTATTTAAGAGCTTATTTACTATAAGGGACATGCTTTTGTCATCGAGGGGAAGGTATTGTCAGAGCTGGCTGGCAGTAAACAGCAGGCTGCAGTCTATCTCCCAGCATCTCTTGCCCTTCCGGTATAGAATCATGGAATCTTTTAGATTGGAAAAGACCTTTAAGGTCAAGTACAACTGTTAACCTGGCACTGCCATCGATCCAGCCTGTCCAGATCCATCTGCAGAGCCTTCCTACCCTCCAGCAAATCAACACTTCTCCCAAATTAGCATCATCTGTGACCTTGCTGGGGGTGTATTTGATCCTCTTGTGCAGATCATCAATAAAGATATTAAACAGCACTGGCCCAAAACTGAGCCCTGGGAAACACCACTGGTTACTGGCCCATAGCTGGATTCAGCTCTATTCCCCACCACCCTCCAGGCCCAGCCATCCAGTCATTTTTGTACCCAGCAAACAGTGTACCCATCCAAGCCATGGGAAACCAGTTTCTCCAGGAGAATGCTGTGGGAAGTAGGTGTTAAAGGCTTAACTAAAGTCCAGGTAGACATCATTCACAGTCTTTCCCTCATCTACTAAGTAGGTCACCTTGATACAGGACATCAGGTCCCTGTCTTCCAGGTCAAGGTGTTGGGTG